TCGAATTTCATTCAACATCACTCGGTACCCTAGTTAGTAAATTTGCGTTTTATACGTGAATTATACGCTCAATTGTATAATTTGCATATAAAATATGAATTCCCGTATTCTATAAGCACTTCTGAATTATACACGAATTATATGCCCTAGTCGTATAATTTGCATATAATTCCCATATAATTCGACCGTTTTTTTTAAAATAAAATTTTGTTATTTAATGAGCCAAAACGATATCATTTTAGGTGAAATTTGATCAAAACGACGTCGTTTTATGGTTAGTCTCTTTTTTTCGCGCCCTCTTCCTCTCTTCTTCTCTTTTCTGCGCCTGATTCCTCTCTCACTTCTTTCTTTTGGCGCCCTCTTCCTCTCTTTTTCTCTGTTTTTGTGTCCTCTCCCTCTCTTCTTCTCTTTTTTGGGCATCTCTACCTCTCTTCCTCTTCAACTATTCTTCAACAAACACTTATAAGGAAATTGTTCGTCTTATCTTCTTCTTCTTCTTCTTCTTCTTCGATTTAATGACAAATAAAATTGTTTGTTTTATTTAATAATTGGTACGCTTTTATAATATTTGTAATAATTGATTACGAATCAAATAATATATTTTTTTATAAACTAAAATATTATAATTAAAAAAGATATAAATCATACACCTATAAGAAAAAATAGAAAATGATTAATTCAATGATCATAAAAAGTGTTAAAATCAGGATTAATATTACCGTATTTTTCAAAACATATTATTGATAATATATCATATTAAACCCATACATATTTATACCATATTTTTCTCGTATCCGAATTTTAAAATCGAATTTTTATAAACGTATTTTTCAGCATTTACCGTTAGACATAGCAAAACACTACTTGTACCCACAAGTAAATGGATACCCACACCCAACAGGCAGGTACAGATAGACCATCATTCAATCCGTATAAAATTGACCCGTACCTGTCCGCCCGTGAAAATAACAGGCGGACCGGATGATACCCGCGGATGCCCACATTTTACTTTTAAAAAAATTCAAAAACCGAAAAACATTTCTCTCTCATGCTGCTCAGCCATCCCCATCACCCACCATTACTCATTAAACTCCGCGGGCACCCGCATTTTACTTTTAAAAAAAGGGCGAACGACTTATTGATACCCAAGGTTTGTCAAAACGACAAGTTGGTACTTAAAAGGTTTTGAAACGACAAACAGATACCTTCCGTCATGTTCTGTTAGTGATTTTCATTTGATAATAGTGAAAAGACTAAAATGCCCTTAAAAGTTTAATATTTTAGTTTTTTATAAATTTAAAAATATCTAAAAAACCCCCAGGTTTGCTAATTTGACTAAATACCCCAATATATAAAAAGTTTATAAAATAACAAATACACCCCCGCCACCCACAGTGCCAGATTCCGGCCACCGCCGCCGGAACCTGGCCGAAAAATTGCGTTACGACACAGACCCATCGGATCTGTGTCGTAACGCGTAGATCTTTCATTTTCCGGCAAGATCCGTGGCTGATCTGGCCGGAAAAGGCCAGATCTACGGCCGTCAAGACCGGGAACTTGCCGGAAAATTGTGTTACGACACAGACCCATCGGATCTGTGTCGTAACACCTCGATCTGGCATTTTCCGGCCAGATCCGTGGAGGATCTGGCCGGAAAAGGCCAGATCTGGCCGTCGAGGCCAAAAAAGGCCAGACGTAGATCTGGCCTTTTCCGGCCAGATCCGTGGCGGATCTGGCCGGAAAAGGCCAGATCGGTGTGTTACGACACAGATCCGACGGTTCTGTGTCGTAACACAATATTCCGGCCAGATTCCGGCGGTGGTGGCCGGAATCTGGCACTGTGGGTGGCGGGGTGTTTTTGTTATTTTATAAAATTTTTATATATTGGGTCATTTAGTCAAATTAGCAAACTTAGGGGGTTTTTAGAAATTTTTAAATTTATAAAAAACTAAAAATTAAACTTTAAAGGGCATTTTAGTCTTTTCACTATTATCAAACGAAAATCACTAACAGAACATGACGGAAGGTACTCATTTGTCGTTTCAAAACCTTTTGGGTACCAACTTGTCGTTTCAACAAATATTGGGCATGTATAAATCGTTCTCCCTTAAAAAAATTCAAAAACCGAAAAACATTTCTCTCTCATGCTGCTCAGCCATCACCCATCATTACTCATTAAACTCCACGCCACCCTTTTTTTTCTCTTTCTTCATCAATGCCTCTGTGAGTTCTGTCATCTTCCATTAAACTCCACCAGTCCACCTCTCTTTTTCTTTCTCTTTCTTCATCAATCCTCCTTCTTTCTTACAGCTCCTAGCCCATGCACAATTTTTCAGCCACCTCTAATCTCTGATCTCTGATCTCTGTCACGCAGACATGCAGCCATCTCTCCAGTGGACAGTCGCCCATTTCGCCATTTCTCCTTCACGCAGCCATCTTGCACGCTGACGCCCAGCCATTTCTCTCAATCACAAAATTTCGAGTTCTCTTGCTGTCATCTCTGATCTCTCTCACGCAGCCACCTCACCCAAAACCAGAACCCTCACGCCCAATCTATAACCTGCAAAACCCAATATTTGACACCAAACCAATATTTACGACAGTGAGTTCTAGGGTTTTGTTTTTTTTGTTTCGATTAGTTCAATTTTATTTACTGAAATGTGGGAGACCATTCAGAATTGGATGAGTTTTACTATTATGAGATTATCGCTTGTGGGATGCTTTTATGATTTGTTGATTTGAAGTTTTTTCTTATCGGTGATGTATATCTATTGCCCATTTAGGAACAATTTATTAAATTATTGTATATTTTAGTTGGTCTTGTTGAATTAATGTTTATGCTGCGAAATTTGATAATTGAGAAAAAACAAAAATCATTTTATGCAGGTGACCCGCGGGTTGATCCGTGCCCGTACGGGCAGGTGCGGGTCATACATATGATTATCCGTACAAAATAATTACCCATAGACCCGTGCCCGTTTCATCCGTGACCCGTTTATACCCGGCCCATACCTGCCCAACCCACCTGTTTGCCAGGTCTATTTACAGTATCATACCATAAAATTTCCGTACCCTTTTTTGACCGTACCGGTATTTACTAACTATGCTCGGTACCACCGCCACTCATCAACGAACACCGCCTCTCCTCTCTGTATTCACGTAAATTAAAACGCTTCCAGTCTCGAAAACTTCATTTCTTCTTTGTTCGCAAGCATTGGAGGAGCCTTTGCCCCATTTCAAGAAGAACTAGACATACTGAATCAGAGAGCCGTAAGTTTTTTCGATTTCTCTTTGCTTTTTTTTCTCAGCTTCACCATCTGTGTCTTCGTAGTCCTCAGGTTCGTCATCCTCTGACACGTCATCTTCCGTCGTCGTCGCTGCCGAAATCTCGGCCGCGAAAAAGATAGAGACAGGGAGTCGGCATACAAAAAAGTACGCCCTTTTGGATCCATTCCTCAAATTCTTATTTAATTTTATTAATTTTGTGTATAATTTCATTTCATTTGATTTCACTAATCACCAACTGTTGTTGAATCTATACGTAAGTTCGTTATATCCTTCAACTGATGGACTCTTAGTTTACTCTTACTTTTGTTTAATTTTTGTTTCTATTTTCTTAATTTTGAATTCTTGAGTTTGAGTGGTGCTTGGTTGCTGAGAAACCGTTGGAGGATTGGAAAAAGAACTGGAAGTTTAATTTTTAGGATTGCTTTTAATAAATTATCGTCAATATTTGTAGTTTATTTTAGTTGAGACAATTGTAATAAGATTCAATCGAAATGTTTTCTCAGCTATCTCGGAGAGGAAATGTTTTTGCTTTTTGAGTTTGAATCCTCTGATTAGAGCCATGCTTGGGTTAATTCTGTAGTTTTATTAAATTAAGCTGTTTAATGAAGCAATGGTTGGAATCTGTAAGCTGTTTAATGAATATGTTGGCCTAAATTGTATTTATGTTTTAATTGTAAATGCTGCATTTTTTGTTAGCGGTTATGATGATTTTGTTGGTTTTTTTAATTTTTAATTCTTTGACAGCTGAGAAATGGGAATGGAAAAAAAAAAACAATACTGATATGGAGGAGGGAACGCTAGAGATTGGCATGGGTATGTTGTAAAGTGTATTTACTGATTATTTCTTATGTTTAATGTTATTTTGTGACTGCTACGGTGGATTTTGGTATTTTTGAAATTTTTTTGGTTCTGTTGTGGTTCCTCCTCTTTTCTCTCTTCTCTTTCATGGGAGAATGCCAGAGTTTTGAGAAGAACCCAGGATGGTCAAAGAGTGGGGATACTTAAGTCAATCAGTATGCCAATCTATTTTCACATAATTAGGTGTTTTTCATTCATTTCATGTTTCCTTGCCGATAGAAATTGTTAAATGATTGATTTCTGAAACCAAAACTGAAATGAAAAATGACTTTTGTTGTGCAGAACACACATTTTTTGTGGCTGTGCAGAAGTCCATATAGAGTTGAAAATCCCTCCAAGCCATGGCTAATCATTCTCTGGCTGCAAGGTAGACCTGTGAGTATTGTTTAGAAGAATAAGTGTGAAATTAGAATTACTCAGTTTGAGATTTGAGAACAGCAAAAAGAAAGTTCATTTCTTGTTTAGGCAATAAAGTTTTGGATTCTTTTCATTCTATACCAATATCTGAATATCTTTGTTTCTTACTAATTCATTTGTACAGGTGCTTCAGGCGTTGGGATTGGAATTTGGAGGAGGTTGGACCATTGGACTTATTTGAAGAGCAGGAATTTGACATGGTTGAGAAAAGCTGATCTCCTGTTTGTGGTGAGTTGGCCATGAGTAAACTCTGTTTATTGGAGTAAGGAGGATTAATTTTGCAAAAAAAATTATTAAAATGTCGTTTTGGTGTGATTCAGGATAATCCCGTGGGAACGTATACAGTTATGTGGAGGATTCAGATTCAAAATTGTTTTGTGAAAACTAATGTTGAGACCGCAACTGATTTAACTGCAATGTTGGAGGAGCTTTTTAATGAAAATGAGAAACTTCAAAAGAGTCCTCTGTACATTGTGGCAGTGTCTTATGGAGGAAAATTTGCAGTCACTCTTGGATTGTCTGCACTAAAAGCTATAGAAGACGGAAAATTAAAGCTTAAACTTGGGAGGTTAACTGTTTTCTAAAATCATAAAAAAGCTTTAATTTGCTTCGCTCCTCCTTCTCCGAAGATCTGCTACAGGTAAATACAAATTCTTAAGAAAAGTATAAGTTACTGATGTTTGTTTGTACTTGATGGTTTTCATAGTTAATGCTAGAATTCTTGAAGTAGAATTTTTTTTCATGCCACGCTACATTTTCAACCGTGTTTATTAAGAATTGCGAGAAGGTAATGTCATCCAGTTCTTAGTAGATTCATGTCTTTGGCTTAACTCTTTAGTGACAATTTTACAAAGATTGTCAATAAACTCTCTTTACCACTTCAGCATTAATCTTGGAGGTCATACTAGGCATATGGGGGAACACAGCGCTGTGCTCAAATATGCAGTCTCTTTATCCATATCTTATTGACATCAAGATGAAAAAAATTGTATGAGACTTGAAATATGAAGTGAAATTTAGTTAATTAATGATGTATGATTTGATTTCCATATACTTAGTGGAATGGATACATTTATTCAAGTTATGACCTATGCAGTGAGAGGTTTGCTGTACTTCTTTTGTGGGTGATTATAGTTATTGTACACCAGCATTTGGGTGCTGATGGACAATGTTCTTTTGTTTTTGGTTTCTTTGTAGAATTCACATCTACATGACAGAAAGTCACGATTACTTTATTGGATTATCATATTTTTGTTTTTTTTACTTTGCAGTGAAGTAGGTGATCAGGCAGTACTAAATACTCTTTGGGAGAGATATGAGAGCACCACTGATAAGGTATGTCTTCTTCTACAATTATAAGTGCATGCTGCATATATTTTTAATAAACAAAGGCAACTCTTATTAATAGAATGAGAGGTTTCTCTTTCAAGAAACTGCATTTAATGTGCTTTGTTTTTTGTAGTTTAGTCCAAAAATGGAAAGGTACAAGGTAATCTGCTGGGAAGAAAAATACAGTCTACAGTATATAATTACAATCCTTGGGAGTTCTTATTGTGTTTAATAGGAAGAGGTCAAAATAAAAAGGGGAACAAAATTTATAGAGAGGAGGTGTAAACAAAATTAATGGTGTTCATCAACTTTAACTATTATAAAATTCTTCAATTTCAGATTTTGCAGGTCTTAAGCTTCACTAAGGCTGGGTTGTAAATTTTTTCTTTTGTTTTTTGATGCTTTATTAATGTGATGAAATAAAGCAATATCCAGTCTGGGCTGACATTTCATTAAGATGAAAATGATGAATTTAAAAATTTTCCTTAGCAAGAAGAGAATAACACTAAATGAAAGATGCGTTGTTCTTTTGAAATAGAAAACTATCCAACTAGGATAAAGACATTGACATTTTAGTGCATTTGACATTTTGCTAAGCCAAGAATCTTTTCCAAAACTCTATTTATTTGCTTCTCCTGTACTCCACTCACAAAAGCAGCAATATTTCATCAAAATTCACATGTATCTTTCATTTGACACAAATAAGAGAAATAAACCACTAAAATTTGTGTTGCTGCAGCTATTGATCAAATATTTGTAAGTGAAAATTTTGGGATGATTGTTGGTTATTTGGTTCACTAATGCTTTTGGCTGTGACATTTCCTATTTCTTCATGTAGGCTTACAAGCCTTCATTTGGGCCCCACAAGTCCAGGGAGTGCTTGCAACTAATCCTCATCATGCAAAACAGGTTGAATTATGCCCTTACATACCGTGAAGTCATTGCAATTTGATGCAGTGACATGTTTTGGTCGATGCAAAGGTTCTCACTGATAAGACTTACCCTACAGGCTTCTTGGGTGTGCATGCTTCGACCTATTTGCTATTGTTTCCTTTTGTCAATTATTATGTACTCCTAATATTGTGAGATGAGTTAAAACATTATACTGGGAATATAGCTTCTTCATTGCAGGCAGCTTAAAATCCAATTTAAGTTCGAGATGGATCCACCATTTGGACATGATTTCCATAATTTTTTCCCCTTCATTTAGCTTCTTTTATATTTTTTTTGAAATTTTGTACATGTCGTATCTATTGGCAGATGTTGTATCAATTCCAAAGACAAATGAGAACTTCCGTCTTCTTTATGACACTAAGGGCTGTTTTAGCCTTCATTCAGTCAGGGATTATGAGGCAAAGGTTAGTCTTGAAAGTCAGTTTATTTTTATGTTGGACTTTGTTATTTGGAGAATATATTGTATTATTTGATACGTTATAACAGAAAGGATACTCAACACGAATCAATTATTAGTTTTCTGTTGTTTTAACATATTGCATAATTAAATCAATGTGATGAGGTTTTTCAAAGTTGAATCATATGAAAGGAAAACAAAAATCCCTGAAGGCTAGAAAAGTGATTTGCCCATTTAGCGCAGCACATGTTTGAGGAAAATCCGTGACCCATTGTATTAAGAATATCTATGAAATAGAATGTGCCAGCTACATGATTGCTGTCTTTATTTACCTATTTTGGGTGTGTTTTTCAATAGTTCGGCAGCACAAGGGATAATATTGTTAAAATATTGTGGGAAATGAAGATGTGTTTAGGCTATGTTTTGGCACAACATACATCAATATGGTGGTTTGATAATTGATAATGAACCCCGTACATCAAATTGTGAACTATTAACAATTAATTTTGGCTGATGAGCTTAAAACACATCAGTATGGATCATACACATCATTATGGTTTGGTAGCACCATTCATAATATGTCGAACAATATGCTATAATTTCTGTTCGGCATCACCCAATAAATCATGTTATAAAATTTCTGTTCGTAGCCTTTAAAGAGCCAGTTTTGGATCATATGTATCAAAATTTTATACAGCCACTTATGGTTCGGCAGTGCAATTATCAAATAAAGATTTGAAGATGTGTTTTATTGTAGGCTGCCAGTATATTACTATAATCAGTTAACTTTTTGGCCATAACACCTCCTATTACTTTTATTTCTACAGTCATCCATCTCTATTAATCATTGATTGGATAACTATCGTTTACCTCACCATTAATATGATCCATTTCAATAGTTTGGCAGCACAAGGGATAATTTACCCACTATTAATATAGATTAATGGTTTGGCACAATATATCTATCTATCTATATCTATTTTTCTATATATTTATATCTATCAGTGAATGGAAATGTTGAAAATTGAAATAGTTAAGTTTCTCATAGATCAGGTAGTTGACATCGATAAAGTGAAAACCAAGATTTATAGGATGAAGGCGTCATCTTTATTACGTTATAAATAAATCAATAGTCAAAAGAGTTAAGGGCAACACATGACCTTTAGCAGGAAGTATATTGTAGCTATGAGAAGCAATTTTTTTTTCCCACAAATTGTATATACCTATGTTAATTTACAGTAAAAAACAATAACGATAAACAGGTAGGAGCAAAAAAATAACAATTATCTAACAATTAAAATCTATGAAGTATGTAAAACTATACATAATTAAAATCTTTAATTTGATAGACCTATACAATGTATGCACTTTTATAGTAGATATCGACTAATTGGAACATCCAATTATTCAAACAAACTAAAGTCAAAGAGCTTAAACGCTGTGTCCAGAGAGCGTAGAGTCTGAAGCTGATGAAAAATAAAATTGAAACATATTTTCAAGCTGTCATTTTTTAGGTGGCTTTAATTGTCTTTTCAAATGTACAGCATTTGAGTGCCTCCAATTTAAGCATGAAATTATAAAGAAAAATAGGAACACTATAACAGCCAAATAAAGACAAATGGCAGCTAGAAGACTTTGATTAGTTCTTCCACTGGCAAAATTTAAAAAAATAAAAAACACCAATGCTTAAGTACCTCACTTTAGTGACAGTATTACATGCAGTACCGACTTATTTTCTTAACCTTAATTCTTAATAATAGCATTAAAATAGATTTAAATCATCCAAAAGTCTGATAGATTAATATTCATTTTACCTATCAAACATATAATACAACATAATTATTGTTTTAAACATCGCAATTGTTGGGAAAAAAATGCTTAAAAAATGATTCTACCATGCATACTCATAGTAGATTGCACCTCTCCCTTTGTGGGGTGATTTCTCCATTTTGACACATTGGTTTTGAATTAATTACTCCATCTTCACATGTTAGATAAGCATTAATAATAAGTATATAGGTGCATTATATTGGTATTTCAAAAGTTTAACCATTTGGACACATTGGATGTGTATCAATAACTATTATATAAGTGCATTCAAAAGTCTAAACAAAAACATAAAAAGATTAGAGTTTAATGATATCTACCTATAATTGATATTAATAATTATATACATACAATTATTAATTTTATCTTAACACAACTTTGTATATATATACAATTTCTATTTACTTTAAAATTTGTATTGTTTAACAATTATTATATCTGAATCTAATTAGTTTCTTTTGTTAGAATAAATTTGTTTTACAATCTATTTCAAAAACATTGAATAAACATACATGCGCAATGCATAAGCCCAAACTCATTTTGGGCCTCTAGAATTGTTCCATTTTGACACATAGGATTTGTAGTTGCCATGTGGTTTAATTTTATTGGTGATGATGTGGATATATATTAATTGCTGCATTGGTATTCCAAATCCAAAGATAAAAGCATACCCGTTTGAGTGACACATAGGACAATTTTTTTTTTTTTTTATCTCTAAAATTGCTCCCTCTTGCTACGTTAGGTGTGTGGTTTAATAAGATATTAATGTATTGCATTGATATTCCAAATGTTCATATCAACCCAAACTTTTCTTGATTAGGTTTAATGAGATATTAATGCACTGCATTGATATTCCAAAGGTCCACATCATCTTGATTACATTACGTAGCACATTACCCAAACTTTTCTTGATTAGGTTTAATGAGATATTAATGCACTGCATTGGTATTTCAAATGTTCATATCATCTAGGATTGTTATTAGTAATTATATAGGTGCATTGTATTGACATTGCAAACATTTCTTCGTATTTAATTGCGTTGGCATTCGAAATGTCTAAATAAGAGGTTATAAAAGGGGGTGTATGTTCAGTTGTGTATTATCGCAATATGTTAGTTGGTGTCAACAATACGTTTGGTCTTTTGTTAATTGTTTATAGGTCATGTTAGCTTGTGTCAATAATACCTTTGTTCTTAATTATTTTGTTAATCGATGAATTTTTATTTATTTATGTTTTTGTTGTTGTTTACAGGTCAAAGATTCATAAATTGGCATGGAATAAATGCAGAATGTCTTATTGACATTGTCAAATGAGTTGTTATTTTGATTCGTTCTTCTGAACTGTAAGTATATCTTCTAACTATTTTAATACAAAATTGTAAGTATATCTCCTAACTATTTTAATGGTTATTATTTGATTGAATGATTGTTTTTGTTCGATCAATCTATTTGAATGATTAATTGTGTTAATCCTACCGAACGATAAATGTATTCCTTAACAATTATAATATGAAGATTAATTAACTTTTTTTGATTTCATTTTCAGGTAATAGTTGTTATACGAATGAATAATTGTTCCTTAACAATCTTAAAATGAGATCAATTAAATTTTGTTATGTTTGTTTTCAAGAAAATGTTCATGTACTTTACTAAGATCAAACCGATGATGATCCTATTGTTAGCCGAACTGTGAGTATGTGTCATATCTATATTAATAGAAACAGTTCATTTCTGTTGAATATGTTTTCTGTAAAAACATTCGTGTATTTTAATTTGTTATATAAATGATTAATTGTTTATGTCCTGCTAATATGCGAGTATATATGTTAAATGAATTAATTTTGGCTAATTTTATTTCCAATTAATAGGTGTTATTTGAAATATTTCTTATCAGTCCTAATATGATAATCCCTTAAATTTGGGTTAAGTAAACCATTCATTTTATCATCACACGCATTTCAGTTTCCCCTAAACAATTAGTAGAAAATTGACCATAACTTGCTCAATAAAAATCCAATTGATGAGAGGATTGAATTTTTAGAAACCATACAGACAACGCTTCAATTTGATATATTATAAGCTTAATTTGGATAACTGTAGCCCCATTGCCAAGTCATTCCTTTTATCATCACACACATTTTAGTTTCCCCTGTATCTCGAATTTCATTGAACAGTCAATAGTAAATTAATCATAACTTGCTCAATAAAAATCAAATTGATGAGCGGTTTAAATCTTCGAAAACCAGACAAACATAGATTAAATTTGATATATTATACGCTTAATTTGGATAACTGTAGGCCCCCTGCTGAACCATTCCTTTTATCTTCACATACATTTCAATTTCCACTAAACAGTCAGTTGTAAATTGATCATAACTTACTCAATAAAATTCCAATTGATAAGAGGTTTGAATCTTTAGAAACTAGATAGACAAGACATTAATTTGATATATTGTACGCTTAATTTGGATAACTATAGCCCCATTGCCTAACCATTCCTTTTATCATCACATATTTCAGTTTCCACTAAATAATCAGTAGTAAATTGACCATAACTTATTCAATAAAACTCCAATTGATAAGTGGTTTGAATCCTTAAAAACTAGACACATAGAGTTTTAATATGATATATTATACGTTTAATTTGGATAAATGTTTCCCCACTTCCAAACCATTCTTTTTGTCATCACACACATTTTGGTTTCCCCTGTTTCTCGATTTCCACTGAATAGTCAATAGTAAATTGGTCATAACTTACTCAATAAAAATTCAATTGATGAGCGATTTGAATATTTGGAAACTAGAAAGATAGAGCTTTAATTTGATATATTATACGATGAGTTTGGATAACTATAAATCTATTGCTGAACCATTCATTTTATCATCACACACATAAAATCAATTCAATTTTAGTGATGATACAGGAAAACAAATATTCATACGTAGTTTTCATTGTATTTGTTTTATCTTTTTTTGTTGATATTTTTTTTATGTTATATACATATATCAAAAACAAGTTGTTGTTGAATATAACCAATTTCATTTG